GGGGTGGGGTGGTCAGTGGGCTCACTCTGGGGGCTCAGTTTCCGGTGGACAGAACTGGGAAATGTGATCCCTGCCTCAAGATGTTCGTGGCAGTGGGAGACCCACTGTGCTGCAGGGGCCCAGAGCACTGAGTTCTGCTGGGTCTGAAAGACTGGGAGCTGCACCCTGAGTGGGACATGAAGGATGGGCAAACAGGATATCAACAGGAAGAAAAAGGAGGACAAGGGCTTTCTAGGCAGGCAGACAAGTATTACCAAAGCAGAGGTATTAAGGACCCAAATATGCTTACCATGCTCCATTTGGAATCCTTCTATCATTATATGCAGTCTTTTCCTCCTCTACAGGTAGCCCCTCGAAACAGAAAAGCCACATCATGTCAGGGTGTTGGTGAGGGGGAATGAGGGCTGAAGGCTGGGCCAGAGCAACAATTGCATTGGCCAGGTGCACGGGAGCCACCGCCATGTCTAGCTGGGTCTGTGCCCACATAGTAACAACTGCTCTTGTGCTGCCTGAATGGTCATAAGAAGACCCTTCCTTCTTCCTATACCCCTATAAACTTCCACCTACCTACTTGGTGTGATGCCTGAAGTTCCACTACTGGTCACTCTTTCAGGAATGGCTCCTGTTATGAATATGCATAGGTTGGGAAGGGGACGGCATCTCAGGCCATAAGCCACTTACCCTGAGGAACACAGGAGGGTATGTTTTGATGGAGGAAGGAAAGGGACAGAGGAGGACATTGCAGGAGTGTGACAGAGGAAGAAGGAGGGTGGAGGGGGTGGGTAATGTTGGGCAAACTCCACAAGGCTACCTCCTGCTAGAACCTTAGAACCAGGAGTCGCCCCATTGCTCAGGGCCACCCATCCCTCTTGCGGAACCAGTGAGGAAGGGATACCCTGAAGGTGGAGATGAAGGGAGCTCAAGGGTCACTGGAGTGTCAGGGATGGAGCCAGGACCCACTCCAGATTTAGCAAGGTTCTCCCAGTTCTCAAACCTCAAACCCACACCTTTGATATGCACACATACCATGTGTCCAGCCTGTCCTACTTTTTCTGGGACCTCCTGGGGTCCTTATCCGCATCTCCCTTCTCCTGTGCCAAGAGCAGACTGCTGGGCCCCAGGACTTCATTTCTGCTTCATAGATCTGGCAGCTTGGGTGGGAGGGGCTTCTGTCTGGGGTTTATAGTAGGCAGAGCAAGCAGGTCCAGGGGCTCAGCCCGCAGAGAGTGAGGGACAAAAGCCCCTTCTCTTGGAAAAAAGATTCCAAAACCTCCAAACCACTGAAGTCCCAGTGCTGACTCTAGTGCCATGGAATCAGGGGGCCCCCTTGGGCCATTGCCCTGATGCCCTCATTTATCTGGAACACTCCCCGTGGCCCCAGCAGCTGCCTGGCTGGCGCTGGCTCTGGACTCTATTGCCAGTAAGGGAGGTGCCAGGTGTGGGCAGGCACCAACTAACTTTGCCCTGGAAGAGGGATGTTAGGGTGGAGGCCAACTGTCCCTTTTTGGGGAAGAGGATAGAAAAAGGCACTCGGCTCCTTGTGTCTGGGGCTGTGGGAGCCCTGGACACTCGCCTTTTTTTCCTGCTCAGGCTCTAGGTTCCCAAGGGGTGGGAGGAGGCACCAGAATCCACTGGGGGGAGATTAAAGGTTGCATGAAAAGAGCCAATGACTGGGAGGTGGCAGACCTAGGTTGGGCCTGGCTATGGTCCACAGGCTGGTGTCTTCTCATCGGTCACAGTGTTCTTCTCTATAAAATGACATGGTTGAAGCCAGTGGTCTCTCAGCAGTTGTCCTGTGATGCTGACTGGCATGCTCAGTTGGGCTGTCTCCATCCTAGAGAGGATTTTCCAACCTTATGACCCCTTTGTTCTCTCCTCTTTTCTGAGGAGCATGGCAACTGACTCTGAGGGTCCCCCTACACCCCCCACTGACTGTTTTAGACATGGGATCTTTCTTGAGTGCCTCCCTCCTCAGCCCTGCTTCTGGCCCCTTCCAGCTGGACTTCTCTGCTCCTTTTCCTTGCCTGGGCAAGGCCCTCTTAGCTGGCTATTCTCCCTTCTCTGTGTACTGACTGGGAACCAGAACACATGGGCTTGGCTCTGTCATGTGCTGTGTGCCCTTGAACTAGGAATCAACCCTCTCTGAGCCTCAGGATCTCCCAGGACCCACCAGCATTCAGACTTGATCATACCCAGGTCCGCAGTTTCTGGGAATTCACCAGGACCTGGGCATTGTGCCCCTGGCTTCAGCCTCTTGAAAGGTCTGCCTTGTTGTGACATCAGAGTAGGAAGCCCCTGGGCCTCTGGTCCCAAGTGTCAGTCCTTCCCATATTTCATCTAATTCCTAGGGCGAGTTGGGGGGGGCATTTTGAAATAGTCAGAAATCTAACAGAACTATCAATTTTTTGAAAGAAAATAGAAGACTGTTCTATTCTGTATACAGGGTAAACACACATACACACACACACACACACACACACACACACACACACACACACACAGATATTTCATCCAGATACAAGGAAAAAACAAAGGAAAATGAACACATTTCAAAATAAAAGTCTCCCCTCCTCCAAAATTTTTGGAGGCTTTGTCTCCTGCCTGCATCTCTCTTTCTTTCTGTCTCTGTTTCTGTTCTGCTTCCCATCATCCCATCTTCGGGAGTGGTTCAGGATTCCTGGAGAGACAGAGGAGAATCATGGGCATCCCCGAGTGAGGAGAAATAACCACGCCCAGGTGGGCAATTATGATTCAGCACCTTGGCCAGCACCCACCACTCCCCCAAACCCACTCCTCTTCAAGCCCCTTCATTTAAGCCTGTGACATGACCCTTTGCAACTGACCTCCTGGTGGGGTGTTCGGGGATGGTGAACAGACTCAGGACCCAGGCAGAATGAGAGGAAGCCAGGAATACTGCCCAGGTGTGAGCAGTCAGCCTCCAGGGATGACCTCTCCAGCTGAGCTCTGTGCTGCCAGGAGACCTTATCTCTGTTGTTTTCTCTTCCTGCTGCCACCCAAGAGAGAAATATCCAGAGCTAATGGCCTTGTTATGTTCTGAGCAGGACAAACTCCACATTAGACTTAGAGAATCCTGGATAATCAGAGCCAGAACCTGGGCAATCAATTAACTGGATCTCTAGCTCCTCCCCCAAAAGAGATGGGAAGGGACACTGAGGCCCAGGGAGAAACAGGTACCTACTTAGGGTCACATAGTACCTTCTTGAGTCTACCCTGACTCTGAGAGACACATGAGTCTTGGCTCGAAGCTGAGATTTGACCCACAATTGCACAAATGCACAATGGTGTGGAGCAAGGGTTAAAGTCCCATTCTGAGTCCCAGGGGGATCCAGTTCAAGTGTCTGCTGCCTGTCACTGAAGGGGTCCTCAAAGTTGAGAAACATTCCGAGGGAGGTCCAGTGACGAGTTTGACTTTAGCTTTGGATGGGCCTGGGTCTGATTTCCTGCCCTGTTGAGTACTGGCTGTGGGTCCCCTGGGAGGTGATGTTTCTCCACTCAAACACTGAGAAAATGATGCCAACCTCACAGGCTTGTCTTGATGTTAGATAAGTATCAGCCCTTTGTCTGCTGACCACAAACTGGGATCCAAATAGGGATACATTTCTCTCGTGCTCTGTGTAAGACCTTCACTGATCCCTCCTTCTTCCCCAAGACTGGGATGCCTTTGCCTCCCCTCTCTGCTTGTCTGTGTTAAGTGGGGGATTCCTGGGATCAGCCTGACAACCCCAGATTCTTTCATTCAGGAATTCTGAAGGGAAGACTGGGATGTGGCCAGCACTCCTTGGACCTTGTGCCAAGGCTGAGTGGGAGAGGGGTAGGAAGGACTGTGGAGGGGGCATTTCTCCCCCCAGAAGACAGATACACTGAGCAAAGATGGAGGGGCATGGCTTTGGGGGAGCCACAGAGATTTGAGGGATCAGTTGGGGATACTCTACTCTCAAAATCACCTCCCCCCAAAACTGGGTGCTTTCCATCAACCCATCAGAGACTTTCCCTCTGCTAATTTCTCCAATCTTTGTTCATGCCCCTCTATCTAGAACCCCCCAAAATTCAATGACTGTTGTGGCTCCCTCTCTGCTCTCCCTAGATCCAGGTATAAGTGAAGATCCCTCTGAGGCCTCAGGGGGCATCCAGTGTGACTTCTCTCATTTGCAGATAAGGAGACTGAGGAGAGGGGCTTCAGGGTACAGAAAGGGTCAGCAGAGAATTAAGATGAGGCTCAGGACTCCTGTTTCCCAGGTTGCTGCACTGTGCAGCTGTGGGGCCCCAGGGCCTTGCCACCTTCAGTGTCCACAGCTCATCTGTCCATATTCAGGCCCCTGCCTGACTCCTGGCCAGTCAGAGGTAGGATAGACCTCCTTCTCTACAGCAGACCTGCAGACATCAACGACCAAGATGCTCCCATACCCCACAGGAGACCTAAGGAGGAAGATAGACTCCTGAGGGTCCGATTCCTTAGGGCACTGACTCTGGGAGGCAGCTGGAGTAAGAGGCAGAACTTCCCTAAGTGCACTGCACTTTGCAGCTTACCAATAAATCACGAGATGGTGTTATTATCCCCGTTTTCCATACAGAAAAGCCAAGGCCCAGAGAGGTTAAGTCATTTCTCTAAAGTCATACGGTAATGGAGCTTGGGTTCAAGCCCAGGTTTGTGGAATTCAGGAGACCTGACACTGTCTCATGAGCTCCCCTTTGCTCCCAAGACTATCACTAACCCCTCCTCCAGGCAGACTGCCTGTCTTCCCTGACTAGTTAGTTGTGATGTAAGTGCTGGCTTTAGAACTTAGTTCTAATCTAAGCTTTGCCCCTTACCGGCGTGGGACAGGGGGCCGTGGGCATGTCACATCTTCTCTCTGAACCTCATTTTCCACTTCTGTAAAATGGGCATAATATTACATACCCAACAGGGTTGCTTTGTGGATTAGCCATGTTAATATATGTACACTGCCTGGGCCTTTTTCAAAGTGAATGGAACTGACCACTGACATTCTGTAACTTTAATTTAATACAAATTCATCATAACTCACAAAATGGGCAACATTCAAAATAAAAATACTGCTGGGGTGACCCAGATTCTGGTAGATGTAGGGGTGGGGGGAGGTTGAGGATTCCTCCTGCCTGAGAGGGACGCCAATGGGCAACAGTTGTGAGGGGAGCCCCCCCAAGTTCAGCCAGTCTGGCTCCTTTGGGATGAGTGGGGTCAGGGACCCCACAAGCTCCAAATCTAGGCTCAGGATGAGAAAGCAAAGCTGAGGCTTGAGATATTCTGGCCACCCCTGGGCAGGGCCAGAGCCAGGGAGCAGGACAGCTGGAGGCTCTGCTGCTTTAAAGCCAAGACCCGGAAGTGAACCCCTCTCTGTTTCTTTTGTGTCCTTTTAATGTGGTTGGGCCAGGAAAGAAGAATCTATTTCCCAAACACCCGTGCAGCCAGAGTCCAGGCTTTGTGTTGTGTTTCCCCAGCAGTGCCTCTCATCCAGATTGGGATTTGGGAATTAAATTGAGTGGGAGAGAGGCGGGCCCCAGGACGTCCATTTGCTGGCATGGTCAGCAGCGGAGGGAGCACCGCTTTGCGGTCCGCGTCCTCCTGATTCGGTCAGTGGCTTACTACAGACGGGAGCAGCGTTTTTGATCAGGACAGGCATGATGAATTTGGCGGCTGGGAATTACTCCTGGAAAACCAGCAGAGTCTGCTCCTCCAGTCTTTCCAATGATTCTGGAAAGCCATCAGGGATGTGATCATAAATTCTGTCTCATTAAACTAGCCAAAGCAGCTCTCGTTATCCGCACAGGATCTGAATGGAGAGAGATGCCAAGCCTGATGGGAGGTCCCAGCCAACAGTTTGTCCCAGTGCTCAGGTCCTGACAGAGACACGGCTCCCTGCACCCTAGCCTGGTCCCAGAGGCCCGCTTGGACCCTTGGCCAAGCTTCTGGGGACCTCCATCACCTAGTGATGCTTGTCCTGCAGCTGCCTTTAGGCTACTGGTCTCCGCCTTGGCCCCTGGCCGTGCCGTCATCCTACTTTTCTACCCGTGGGCAGGAAGGTGGTGGCACATGTAACACGTGGTCCCAATGACAGGTACCTCGCAAAGGCCACAGCATCATCTCTACCTGCAGGGCAGTGGGAAAAACAGGAACCACAAAGCTCTTGGTCTGGAGGTAGAAGAGGTGGTTCTCGGACACCTTAGGACCAGCTACTGCCTGTGTCCACTGTGGGCTGGAGTCAAGGGTAACATGGCCCATGGCTCAGTGAGGGGCAAGACTCTGACGTGGGGACCATAAGAGGGTTCCTGTGTATCTTTCCAGCTGCCAACCGCTGGCAACACTGACACATCCTGAGATCAGGGCGTGTGGGCAGGAGGGAGACAGAGGGAGGTGGGCCCCTGCCCCCAGAGGATGGGGATGAGGACTGGGCAGGGGCTGCCCCGAGGAGAAGCCACATCACATCCTTGGACCAAAGCTGCCTCTCCATCAAGGTCAGAACTACAGGACATCAATGCCGACAGAGTTTAGGAATCATGGAGCACGGAGGCTGAAGGGTAAACAAGCAGCCTGAGACCTCACCGTGGCCACGTGGGACCGGAATCCAGGCCTCTCCTGTCCCCTGGGTGGTGCTCTTGCGGGTGGCCGCGGCTCGGGTAGCGTCTGGGCACTCCCTCCGCGGCCCTAGATGCGCACTGTATTGATCCTCAAGGGCTGCACGTTCTTGCCATTTGCGTGGCTCTGCCCGGGGCTGAAGTAGGAGCAGAGTTTGCCCGGGAACTTCTCGCGGAAGGTGTAGAGCCAGGACATGTCGTCGGCGTTGTAGAAGATGAGCAGGCCTTGATCGTAGTCCAGGAACACGCCCACCTTGTCCAGCTTGTCGCGGACGTTGAGCCGGGTCCAGGGCTCGGTGCAGGCGCTGTACTGGTTGCCGTCGTGCATGACGATGCAGTAGAAGCCGCGGCTGGGCTGGATCTGGATGCTGCCCTTGCGGCTGGCCGCCTCGTGGGCCAGCCCAATCACCCACTGGGTCTTCTCCGCCACCACCACCTCCCAGTAGTGCACGCCGCTGCTGAAGGCCTCGGAGCCCAGCACCGACACCTCCACGTCGAAGCGCTTCGGCGAGTCCTGCAGCGGCTGCGGGTGCAGGTTGCCGTAGGCCACGATGGTGCAGTCGTCGGACAGGATCAGGCGCTGGTGGGCAGTGCCTGGGTCCAGGGTCAGGGCAGCGGGCACTGCAGGGGGCGGAGGAGGGGAGAGGAGGTGAATGGAGAGAAGGCTGTGGACCCACTCTACTTCCCTACTTGGGGGCTGGCTTCTGGTTGGTCCCCAGGAAGCTGTGTGTTGCTGAAGGCTAGCCTGCCCTCTCTGGTCCTCAGCTCCCTCCTCTGTAAAATGGAAGGGTGATGGCCAAGGTCCTTCCAGATTTAACCCTGGCTGCAGAGGATCAGGAACTGTGACTGCCTGGGGCAAGGAACACAGGAGGCACCCCGCAAAAGTCTGTTGGGTAAACTATAAAGAAATCCAGAATTACAGAACTTCAGAGCTGAGAGAGCGTCAGGATTATCCAGGCGTTGGCAATCACCCTGGTGGGGACAAGGACATGCGTGGGAGTGTGTGGGTTTCTTAGTAGGTGCGATCCATGCGTCCAAATGCCCTGAATGAAAGGCACAGGGCATTTCCACGGCCCTCTTGCCACCCATATGTTTTCAAATGCCCAACCAGACATTCATGTGGATGAAAAACTTTTTTACAAAGACCTAAAATTACAACTTAACTCCATTTTATGTATGAACAGGATGTAATTTTTGTACAGTTTTAATATACTGAGTATTTTAGAACACTACTACCATGGAAACTGAGGGGAGACTGCATTTATGTTGTTTAGAACTTCATTGAGAATTGTTCACTTTTTGGGACAATACATCTCTAAGAAAAATGCCACTGACTCATAGAATCTACCTGTTTCAGACCACATTTGAGACAAAATGGTGTTGTACCTATGGTAGGAGCACCTGACTACTTCATTGTTTTCCAGTATGGCTATAGTGAGCCCCTAGAGAGGACACGAGCAATATTTTCTTACAAGGAATTTCCTTGTATTTTTTCTTTATATCATCATCAGATTATGGATATACAATTTCAAGTATAGATACATTTAATATATATTTATATATTATATATTAAAATTTATATATATTATAATTTATGTATTATACATATATATAAATTGTGAAAAGGTTATATTATCTTTGAGACATTACAAATTATTTGTTAGGAAATGTAGGTGACAGGTCTGAAAAAGCTGTGAACCATTAATTCTGAGCCAACTGTTCCATTTGACAGATGGGGAAAATGAGACCCAGAGAGGAGAGGGGACTAATCTCAGGTCACCCAGCACCTAGTGGCAGAATAAAGACTAATCAAGGCCATGTGCAACCCAGCCCCAACGCCACGCCACCCCGCTCAGCCCCAAAGCCTCCACTCAGACTGTCTGTCCTCCACTGACTCCTCCCTGCTTGTTGTCATCACCCCTGCGTGTGGCTCCACTCCAGGGCCCATCCTCTGGGAAGCCGTCTTAGTGGCCCAGCAGGTGGGCTCACTCTTTCTTCGGAGATTCCTTAACTTCATGTCCTCTCCTGATTCTATAAGGGGTATGGTCTCCTGTGCCCACATCTTACACCCCCTTTGCATCAAGAGGGCAAGGGTTGTGTACCACCCAACTAGGTTCTCCTTAGTGTGCCTGGTGCCCAGCACAGAGCCAGGCATAGTGAAGGTTTCCAGAAAGGCTCACCCAATTAAAGTGACTCTGTTTGTGTTGCTCTCAGGCAGGCAGCACAGGCTGGGTCACCCTGCTCTGGGCTGGTCACACTGGCTTAGCAGGTCTGGTGCTCAGAGTCTCTGTTTACTCTCTCCTTCAGAAGGGAGCGGATGCTCAGCCAGAAGATGCGAGAACCTGGAAGTGGCCTGCCTGAGCTTGGATGACCATTTCCAGGGCAGAGCAAGACAGAGGCCAAGAAGAGTGAAGAGAAGGAATCCTGCCCCAGGTCCTGGGAGCAAAGGATTTCTTCACGCTGCTCTCTGGGGCTTCCCTTATCTGGGGGGGGGGTGGGGGGGGGGGTCAGGACCAGAGTTCCACTCGGCTGCAGCATTACCCCCTACTTCTGTCACCTCTGTTGGCTTCATGCGTGCACAGAAATGAAGCACTTCAGTGGTGGCAACTGTCCCCAACAGGGACCAAGAGCCCATTTCTGAACTGTGCTCCCGTGCACACTGCCACCAGCAAAGCTCACCCTTGACTTCTATCAGGCTCCCTCCATGGGCTCCGGTAGGAGTCAATTTCGTTTCGCATGTTATATTCTCCTTTCCTGTTCTTAGATCTCTGAGGGCTGAACGGAAACCATCAGCCCTGGGAACAGGGGGGGTCAATGGAAACAGAACTCTCCATCCAGGGACACTGAAGAGGGGGAGCTCCAAGAAGGAAGACACTGAATCAGTGGCTGAATGTTCTACCCTGTCTTCCGAAGGGTCACCGTACAGCCTGTGGGAACCCGAAGTTCTTGCCCACGTGGAATGTGGGAATCCCCACAGTGACGTCAGGAGGTGAGAGCAGGAGGGAGGTGTAGGAAGTGTGTGTGAGGGGGAGGCTAAGGAAGCAAGAAGAATCTAATTAGACACAGATGGGCCACTCCTACAGGCTGTGGAATGTGGGTCACACTCAGGCGTCTGTAGCAGAGGGGCAGAGCAGGCACAAAGCCAAGGTGTGGGCAGCCACCATCCTGACTGCCACGCGGGGACTTGTGGAGCTCAGGATGACTGAGGAGGTCTGCAACAGGCAGAAAGTATCGCGCGGGGCCGAGGGACCAGGGCTGGAGCAGGCGGACGGGGGTTTGAGCCCCATACCAGCACAGGGGCTGGAGGGCTCAGCCCCAGATCCTTAAGCCTCATGGAGGGCCACATGGCCACTTCCAGGGCCACCGATGAGTGTGGAGGGCGCTGGAAGAGGCAGCCAAGTGGGCTCTCAAGGGCTCTGAGATTGGGCCATAGAGATGAGGCAGGAATCCAGAGGATATCCTGACTGCACTGAGCGCCAGCTCCTGGGGTGGGCTTGGGGGCAGGGTCTGCTGTTCATTGGGCAGTGCTGGCAGCAGAGGCGGAACTGGGGGAGGGGCCCGGTAACTGGGTGCTTGGCCCAACCTCCCAGGGGCAGGGGGATGTTGAGCCCAGAATTCTTATTAGGCACAGGGCGTGGCCTGCTTCTTAATAGGCTTTGACACCCCCAACGGGTAGGCTGGGGCTCACCTCCAGGGTCTCCCATTTCATCATAAAGAGGTTCTGTCTCCCCAGGACTCCATCCCATCTTCCGTGAGGCTAGATCTGGCAGGAGTAACAGCCTTCAGACCAGAGAGAGACCCAGAAGGGGCCATGGCAACACCTTTTCCGTCTGAGATGTCAGTCCCTGGGTGGGGAATGGCAATCCCTCCACCCATCCTTTATCCTTGGGAGAGCTGCCAGACCACAGTCCCCTGGGGCTCACTATGTTACAGGTCAGAGATCTTTTCTATGTCCGGATACACTGTTTTAGAAAAACAGAAAGCAGGTGTTGAAGCAGCCCGTTGTCTCCAGGTGTTTTTTCTGTCCATTTAAGACTGAGACCTCAACGTCAAAGGCATTGAGGGAGGGACATGGACTGTGGAGGCCCCAGGAAATGTCTGCTGGCCATCGTCAACCACCCCCGACATGGCCCAGGTAGCAGAGAAACCTCCTAGTCCAGCACCATGGCTTGGCAGTGGGTGGCTGAGTCCCTCTGTTCCCAAGGACAGTGGCTCGAACCTTCAGAAGCCTGACAGGATGGCTCTTTCCTCAGGCCTTCACAAAATCTGCTGCCTCGGGCTTCCCACCTACTTAGACCCTCCAGGGCATCGTGCCAGCATTCGAGAAACACACTCATACCCACTAGCTTGCTGGAATGCTGTGGCAGCCCCAGAAGAGCAAATCATGGTACCATTTGTCAGAAGAGGAAACTGAGGCTCCAAGGACACTTCTCAGAGTTAACTGGCCTGCATGAGCTATCCCTCAGGGTGGAAGTACAGTTGGAACTTGAGCTGAGGTCTTTTCACACCATGTTCTTTCCTTTATGTGGCCCCAGAAAGCCTGCTCAGCAAGACCGAGGAACCATAGGATGAGTCCCAATCACCATCGTAATAAACAGGTATCACATACTTACTGAGTTCCAGGATTATTATCACAACTAGATAATTTTATTTCATTCTTATACCTACCCTGGGAGATCAATCACATCTGCCCCATCCCTGTTTTACAGAGGAGAAAACTGGCTCAGAGAGGGCAGTGATCTGCCCTGGGGCACACAGCTAGGTGGTGACGAAATGACTGGATTGAGGTGAGCAGGGGGAAGGAGTGAGCAGCCCAGGGGAGGGAGGTGGCAGAAGCACAGGAGGCAATGTCTGGTGTCCTCTGGTCTGGCCAGGGGAGGAAGTTTGTGTTGGGGAGCTGGAACAAACAGGCCTGGCGGTTGGGGGAGGGTTTCTAATGTCAGCTGAAGGGTGGGACAGGAGGTGGGTGGTGGTAGAGACTGGAAGTTCCAAAGCAAGGGGAGTGACCAGTGCTAAATGGAGTTCTCAGGTGACCCAGTAGGAAGCCTGAGCTGGAAGCAGGACAGGCAGGAAGCTGCTAGAATCCAGGGGCTAGGTCCCTGGGGGTGCCTGTCCCTCCCGTCTGGACATAAAGGGCCTTGGTGCTGCCAGAGGAGCCAGAGTGACTTCACAGGGCCTACGGACAAAGGAAGGGGACTGGCTAAGCAGGTCACTGTTCTCTGAATTCCCCAGGGACCTCTGTCCTTGGCTGGATGCTCAGGGCACACACTACCGCTCCCTCAGCCCCTCTTCCACAGTTTTCTCTGGGCCCGTGGTTCTCAGCTGGGGCTATTTGCCTCGCAGGGTTCATCTGGTAATGTCTTGAGACATTTTGGGTTGTCAAAACTGGGGAGGGGAGCCTTTCATTGAGCAGAGACGAGGAATGCTGCTAGCCAACCCACCATGCATAGGACAGCCCTCTATAACAAGGAATTATCCAGCCTCAAAGGTCAAGAGTGCTGACATTGAGAAACCCTGCCCTGGGGTAACCAGCAAGTTCCCCCATCCACGTGCTCACTTGGGAGGGGGTTGAGAAGGGATTAGCATCCTGATTTCTTAGAGGAGGAAACTGAGACTCAGAGGAGAAAGTAACTTTTTCAAGGATGTGTGGCAAGTTCCATTCAAAAATATTTACTGAGTACCTACTTTATGGCACTATTCTAGTAGCAGAACTGAGCCTAGGGCTCATTCATTTCTTTATCTACTTATCAACAAACATTTCCTGTGTGGGCTTCTAGGGATATAGAGTGATGAATTAGATCCAGCCCTGACCCCTCAGAGCTCATGATCTAGTGAGACAGACAGCTACACAGACATTGACAAAACAGTGAGACCAGGAAAGCCCAGGGCGACCTGAAGAAATCCAGGAAGGATTCTCAGAGGAGGTGTTTATAAACTGGATGTGAAGGGGAGAAGTTAGTCATCAAAGACTGAGATTTGTAGAGAGGGTTCTAGGCAGAGACGGATCAGTGTTGCTGAGTATTATGGGGGCGGGAGGGGGGAGGATGAGAGAACGGCAGGGCCAAGGTCTTGTAGGGCCTTGACTGTCAGGCTGAGGTGCCTGGAGTGCCTCTCTGAGCTGTGACCAGGATGCAGCAGGTGGCAGCCGAGACAAAGAGAGCTCCTGAGACCATCTGCCCAAAGGCTTCCCTGGGTCAGCAGCTGGGGATGTGCTTGTTTCCTCCTTGAGTTATTCTGCTTCGCCCACATGTGGCCCTCCCCCTGCTGGGTCCCCGGGTGGAAGTCCCTCCAAGTCTAGGAGCATACAACGAGGCTAGGAGTACCCCAAGAAGACAGCCCAGAGTTCCACCCAGTCTGCTGGGAAAAGGGCCCTTCCCCAAACTACTGCCCCTTTTGGCAATGAGGGCACAGATCCAGATTTACGAGTACTAGGCACTGTCCCTTCGCTTCTGGGAAATTGGAAATGATATATCAGATGTGGCCTTCAGTCACTTATGGGGGATCCCCACCTCTGTCCAGCATTCACACTCTCAGTGAGCTCTTCGGCCTTCTCCATCCTTTCCTGGAAGGCCCCATCAGGACCATCCTGGGATCATTCACGCTCCTGCCCTCCCCACTGCTTTAGCCGATGCAGTTCCCCACCAGGGACAGTCTGGAGGCCCCACCAGGCTCCACCTTTCCCTGTGCGGCCAAAGCCTCAGCCTTCAGTGCTCAGTTCAAACATCATCAGCTCAGTCCTTCTCCTGGCCCCACCAGAACCTACTGTTTCTCCTTGGGGTTTCCACAGAACTGCATGAGTTGCTTGTCATAGCTTATCCCACTGGGCTGTGGGGTCTGGGAGGGTCTGTTTGCCCATCTGTATCTCCTGACCCCTGAAAATGCCTGGAGGCACTTTCAGTGTCTGTAGGTCAAAAGAATGAATCCAGGCACGGGGCCAGAGCTCTGACTGCTGTGTGACTATGGGAAATCAGCGAGCCTCTCTGAGCCTCCGTCTCCCACCCAGGCTTCCTGGGTTGGTGTGAGGCCAGAGGATGCCTGGCTGGCTTAGAAGGTAAGGGCACAGGCTCTGGGCTCTGGCAGGTCTGAGTGCGAATCCTGACTGTAACACTTCTGGGTTGTGTTCATGGACAAGGTCTTAACAGTTCTCTTTCCTCAACTGAAAAAGATGAGGACAGTAATACTGCCTACCTCTTTGAGAGAATTCCCCTTCATATCCTTGTCTCACCTTTAAAGGACATGGTGCCTTTGTAGGTTATATGATTTTGGGTCCCAGGGTCTACTCCCTCCACTAGAAACCTGTTAAAACCTTCTCCTCTCTCTGCAAACCTCCCATCACCTCCTCCCACCTCTCTTCATCGCAGGCGGCAACCTTGCTTCCTACCTCAGTGGGAAAGGGGAGGCCATCAGAAGAGAAACCTCTCAAGCTTTCACCACTGCCCATTCATTCCCCCTCCTCTGGGCTCCCGAAGATGAGCTGTCTGGGCTCCCAGCAGAGGTAGCGGCAGACCGCCCCCCACCCCACTCCTGGACATCTCCCCGGCCACTCTCTTGGCCCTTCCCCCTCAGCTCTGCCCTCCTTCCACTGGGTCTTTCCCCTTACCCACAAAGAGGCCATTACTTCTTTCCCCTTCAACAGCCTCTGCCACCTTCTCTGTCCGTCCCTTAAATCAAATGCCTGACTTAGAAATAGAAAGCATTGTCTCCACTCAATCTCCACTCGCTCTCTCCTCCCACTTGCCCTTGGATGGCCTCCTATCCAGCTTATGCCCCTGTGGCTCCACAAAGACCCCCATGCTGCTGGACAACAGTCAGTTCGGGGTTCTCCCACCTGGCCTAGTGGCCTTTGCTGCCATCAGCCGCTCTCCCTACTTGGCTTCCAGGACAAACCTGGGTTTCTACCCCCACCCCCTTCTCTGGCTGCTCCTTCCCGGTCCTGTTGGCTGGGTCTCCCCCGTCCCTACGATCTGGGAGTGCCCTGGAGCTTCAGAGTTGAGAGTAGCTCTGTCTCTCTTCTTTCACTTCCTAGGTGCTGTCATCTAGGCTCATAAAGTACTGTCCACACGCCAATATCGCCGGCGCTGACCCTTGTCCTATATAGTACTTGTCATTCCACTTGCCTTCTCAGCACCGGCGCTTAGACATCTCATCCATATGGCAAACGTCACGTGCTTACAACTCTGTCCTTCCAGGAAGCTTGGCCTGCATCATTGTAGTTCCCTTGTCTTTTTTCTCTCATACCCGAGATCGGATTCATTAGCAAATCCTATTGGCTCTCCCTTCAAAGTAGATCCCAAATCTGATCACTTCTCTCCACCTCCACTGCAATCACCCTGCTCCAAGCCACCACCGCTGGCCTGGAGTATTGTGGAAATCTCCTAACCAGTCTCCCGGCCTCCACTCTTAACCCCCTTCAGTCTATTCTCAACCTGGGAGTAAGAGGGAGCCTCGAGGAACTTAAGCACATCCCACTGCATGTCCCCAAGCCCTCCAGGGGCTCCCACCTCACTCAGCATGAAGTCTGAAGTTCTCACACTGGCCCTCAGGCCCTCAGGGTCTGGCCATTGCCACCTCCCTGACCTCCTCACCTCTACTCCCTTCCACTCTAGCCACACCAGCCTCCTCATTCCTTGAATATGCCAGGCTGCTCCTGCCTCAGGGCCTTTGCACTTGCTATCCCCACTGTCAGGAACTCTTCCCTCAGAAAACTGCAATGGATCACTCTCCTTCTTCCTTCAGGGCTTTATTTCTATGCTTCCTGCCTGGTGAGGTCTTCTAACTGGACCTTCTACTTATTATCTGACCTGACATCCCCTAGCTCCCTTCCTTATCTTTTATCCTTCTCTAATGAACTATGGATTTTACTTATTTACTTTCACTTTCTCTCTCCCTATGATATAAGATCCACGAGGGCAGGGACTTTTGCCTGTTTTTCTCACTGCTATGTCTCCAGTACCTAGAAGAGTATGTTGTGTGATATGTGCTGTAGGATGGATGAATGAACTTCCCAAGGCCTCAGTCTCTTCATCTGGAGAATGGATATATTAATGGCCTCATAATGGCCATATGAGGATTCACTGAGCTGAGTGATAGTGCGGGTGCCTAGCACAGGCCCTGGAACAGAGCAGGTGCTCAGCAAGAAATTCTTCTCCTCCCTCTGCCCTGCCCCCATGCTATGTTCAGAGTGGGTGGACAGGCTGGGATGTATCCCCTCACTCCTGCCCGTGCTAAACCTTACCTCTTCCTGGGTGCTCTCTGGGGCTGGCAGGAAGGGCCTTACCTGGGTGGATATCCTGGAATAGGGACTTCCAGATGGTGTACTGCAGGGGGCCCGTGTACTTGGAGGTCGGGAAGTCTTCGTAAGTCAGATTGGTCTCATGGATTTTCCCTTTAAGCCTGGAAAGAAAACAGGAGAACAGGCTGCATTGGGGGCTGGATTTTGGTCCCAACCCTGGGGGCCCTACAGCCTCCTTCAGGGCAGCTGACAAAGAGCAAGGTCATGTATGTCAAGTCTGCCAGCATCAGAGTCAGAGTCAGAGCCACTTCCTACTTCTCTAGCCTCAGTTACTTCATCTTTAAAATGGGTACCAAGATAGCACCTGCCTTCCAGGCTTGTTGTGAGTAGAATACGGCATAATGTATGTAAAACGCTTACCACAGTGCTTGGTTCACGGTCAACACCGAATACATGATGTTAGCTATCAGGATTGATCATCAACAGACTAATAACAAAGTGTTATCATTATGAAAGGGGGCTACGGGACCAGAGAGACGTGCATTTGAATCCTGGTTCTGCCATATACTAGACCCAGTGATCTAGCTTCTCTGTGCCTGTTCCCACATGTGTGAAATGGGGGTGGCAGCCGTTGCTATCTCCAAGGGAGCTAATAGGATTATAATAATATAAATACTATGTATTACCTATAATATCAATATTATAAACAATAGAATGTGTATTTGTAATATAAATAATGTTGCTCTATAAGTAATACTCTGTATGATTCTGCTTATTACATAAATAACAATATAAACACAGAAAGCCTTTTTGGCCCAGGCTCTGGCACAGAGCAGATGTCCCGTACCTCTCTGATGAAGATGGGAATGAATGAGTTCTCTGCTAACCAGCCCCTGTGCCTCGGGGCCCACCTCCCCACTACCTGTCCGGGGAAGGTGGCTGGTGGCGGGCACTTACCGCTCAGACAGTGAGGCCACCCCGGCCAGGAAGGTGTGGCGGTCGGTCTCGGCCAGCCGCTCCTGCAGGATCTGGGCCCCCTCCTGCACCTTGCGCAGCTGCTGGCTGTAACGCTGGACTTTCTGCTCAATGTCCGTCAGCGTGCGCGCTGTGTCAGCCTCCAGCTCCTCCAGCATCGCCTTCTGCCGCTCCCGCAGCAGCCGGTGCAGCCGCTCAAATGCCTCCCCGATGGTGGTCCGCAAGCTTTTGGTGGAAGACTGGGGGGACAGGCATCAGGGGTGAGGCCAGGGGGAGCGGAAGGGGATGACTCCTGGGAGAGAGGTGGAAGCTGACAACCTTGCCGTGGGGAGTGGAAAGGGTGGTGGAAGGGCGCGGTGGCAGGATGGGGCCGGCAGAGCCAGGGACAGCACATGATTCCATGTGCCCCTTAGGAAACTCACTGAGGCTTGAACTAGTGGAGCAGCAGAGGGGCCGTGGCCTGAAAGACATTTGGGGGCAGCCTCCCTGTGCCAGGTGGGCTGGCTGGAGAGATGTGGGAGAGAAAGGTGTGAGGATGATGCCCAGCTTTCTGGCTTGGGGGTGGGAGGGACAGGGAAGCTGGGGGAGAGGCGGTGGTCAGGGAGAAGAGGCTGAAGTCAGTCTAGGATACAGTGAGGTCTTTATTTGTTTAAAAAAAAAAAATTCACTCATGGGGCTCAAGCCAAGAAGACAAGGAGATCACAGATATCACAAGGGCAAACTTTGGTGGTCACCTGCCCTGTCCCGCCACCCTTGCGAGCCCCTAGCCAAGAAACTGGACCAGGAAGTTAAAGTCATGATCACAGGAGGCAAGCCTGGACTTGCCCACTTCTCTGCTCCCGTGGGCACTGCCAGGCCCAGGAGAGGCCTGTGTGGGGATGGGCACGGGCTTCGGTGTGCAACAGCCCGGGTGAGAATCTTAGCTCTGGGTCTCTAGCTGGGCCAACCTCAGTTGCCTAATGTCTCTGAGCCTATCTTCTTATTATCTGTGAGAGGAATGACACAACCACAGTGCAGGGGTCTGGGAAGATCGAGTGGGGGCATGTTCGCCAAGTGCATGGCCTTGTTTGAGGTTCAGAGAAAGAGCCTGATGATTGAGAGATGGCTTCTGAGCTGGGGCCTGCAGGACAGGCTACAAGTCAACGGCGGGGATGGGGGGAAGCAGCACACGGCAGGACAACATGGGGTACAGAAGTGTGGCCAGGCTGTAGTGCCAGTGCGGGACCTGCCTCTGCAATTTCACTTTGTGGGATTCTGGCTGGGAGTTCACAGAGTCAGAGACCCCGCTGTGTTCAGTGCCCGGGGCTCTGTGGGAGGCTTGACAAAGGCTCAATTAGGGCCAGTTCCCTCCTGTCGCGGCAGCAGGAAGAACTGCTGGCAGTGGGCCAGCCTCCCTGCGCATGCCCACCCAGAGCGCCAGGCAGACAAAGGGGGCGGAGGGGAGACTGGGGATGAACAGCCAGGCTGCCTGTGGCCTCCCTGAGCCCCTCCCTGAACACTGAGGCTTCTGTGCAGCTCACGTGGAGAAGATGGGGCCTACCCTCCCTGCCCAGTCAGCCATCTGCCTCTGCCCCCCCCAAGGACCCCCAGAACCACAGCCACCCCTTCCAGCTCCTTCTCAGCCCCTCCATAGCAGTGTCTGGTGCACTGGCCACCCTCTGCTGGCTGCATGTTCTGGTTTGCCTCCCACCTTGGTGGCTGCTCCCTCTGGGCCAGCTCCTTCCATTCTCACCCACGCGCCCTCCTAGATGGTCCACCTCCACTGCTTTGAGGATGGTTCCCGTGACCTTATCTGTGGCCTTGCACGTCTCCTGAGCTCCACATTCATCTTTCCACCTGCCTCAAGCAGACTCCTGGGATCCCACAGGCCATCTAACTCTCTTGGTCAACTCTGTGTCTTCGGCAACAAACTCATGGCCACAGTGACCCTTCTAATGTGCAAAGTGGGTCAAAGCCAATGCTCTTTAGGAATCTTTCTGGGCTCCTTGATAACTAGTAAAACACTAAATTCCTTAGCCCGGCATTCAGAGTCCTCAATCTGATCCCAGCTTACCTCTCTAGTGCCATTGTGCTGCAATTCCACTGCCTAGAATGGACACCCCCCTCAAACTCTTTATCGGACAGGCAAACTCCTACTCAATCTGCAAGGCCCAGCTTGAAAGCTACCTCCTCTGTGACAGCCTCCCTCACTTTTTCAGGCAGTGAAATAGTTAAATGTCTCCAGAGCATTTTGGAAATACTCCTAATACACAGTCTCACATTTTATGTGACTCCAGCTAATGGACAATCCCCAGGGGTAAGAATGACGTCTTTCCCAGCCTTGCACTTCCTGTGCCCATCCCAGGGCCAGGCACAAAGCTGGTAGTCAGAATCTGCTTGGGAGGTAAAGGAGGGAAGAGTCTTGCCAAAAATTACTCTGCAGAGGTGAGTGCAGACTCCATCTTCTTTTTAGGATGGGGGCCTAGTGTCTCCAGGACAAAACAGAATGAGTAGGAAAAGGGGCAGAGGCAGGGAGAGGGTAGCTTAAAAGTGACAGCCAATCCCGGGTGCTTTAAGTATGTTCCTGAAAGGTCTTCCCAACCTACTTATCTTGCTGGCCACAAAGCCACAGATCTGGCTGCGGGCCTCCCAGCACAGGGCTAGGATGTGCATTAGGTTCTGACAAAATTGGACAGTAAGCTCCCAACTAACCACTCACTCACTATGGGACCTTAGGCTAGTTCCTCAACCTCTCTGTGCCTCAGTTTCCTTGCCAATAAAATGAAGATAACATTCCTACTTCTGAAGGAGTCCCCCTCACACCATACACACACTCATCTGTTCTACAATATTTATTGTATGGAGGCACTGTGCTAGGTTCTGGGGAGTCCTGCTGTCACAGAGGTGACATTCTGTGGGGTTCAGTTTCAGTGAGACAATGAACAGGAAACACAATTACCAGCCCAGAGAAAGAGGTTCAGCTCAACTGGCATGCCCCATTTATTCTAGTTTTTTTCTAGGGCAGAGCCATCCCCTCCTCCACCCAGCCCTCAATCCCTTTGGTGCTGTGGCTGGGAAAGCAGCCCCTACCCCAGCCCACCACATCCCTGGGAATACACTGGGGCTCAGAGGAACTGGGGCTGCTTCAGAAAAACACCCTGCCAAGAATGCATCACTTGGTCAGGACCGACCAAGGAAAACATTGGGCCCAGGGAGGGAGATCAGATAGGCCCTCGGGCCGGGCCATTGGAGGGGCAGGCACTGCAGGAAAGCCGAGTCAGGCACCAGGTGAAATATGACCTCCAAAGCATCCATAGGCATTTCTTGTATAAACACCCCAGTCCAGACAGGAAGCGGGGATGGGGGAACTAGAGGGGGAGGTGGCCCCACAGGACCCCCCAGAGGTAGACAGATGGACAGGAAAGCAGGGGAGGAAAAGGTCAGTGGAGAAAAACAATGGGGAGTGGAAAGAAGAGAACGCTAGGGAAAAAACTAGACCATAATATTCTGCTTTCATTCACATAGAGGATTTCATTTGCTTCTCTTCACCCGAGGGTGCAGAATCACCAGGCAGATGGGGAAACTGAGGCTGCGCAAGGCAAATAGGCTAGCGTCTTCTGTTTCTCATCTATCGCCTGCTGAGGGTCCTGCCCGCAGGCATTCCAGAATGTTCTCTAAAGAAATGTTTGTCATGACCTCCTTGAGACCCCACATGGGTTGGAGGCCAAGCTGGGGCACATATCTGGATCTGCAATGGCCTCTCCAGGTCCCCGGGTGACCCCAGAGGTCCGGAGCATTCCTAAGGCTCTAGTTCAGCTACTGCTGGCAGCTGCACCTCTGCTAGTGAGTGGGGCCAGACTGAAATCACCGCAGAGCTTAGCAGCTGGGCTGGGGTCCCCAGTTCTTGGTCCCAGAAAGGGCAGAAATCAAAGCAAGCCTTGTCCAGTTGGTGAGACATCAGTGGGGGAACTCAGAGGGAGGCCCTGGAATCCAGAACTTTAGGGCTGGAAGGAGCCTGGCAGGGTCTCTGGTGTATAGATGGGGAGACTGGGGGCCAGAAAAGTATGGTTTACCCAAAGTCACACAGCGAGGTAGTGACTAGATCAGAATCCAGGGCCTCCCTCTCAGGTCCAGGTTCCTTTTCAAACCATTGCAGCCAGAGACTACAGGGGTTGGCCCTACTTTGCAGTAGAGTCCATAACCCCACAGTCCGCGTTTAAGAGAGTGATACCAAGCCTGGGCCACAAATCACTGGGAGGGCTTCGAGGGGAACAGGCTCAGACTGGCTCCTCCGGATTGCTCCCCGGTCCCACCTCACCTTCCACCCGGAGCAGGAAGGGAGAAAGGGCCCCACCCTTAAACCCAAGAACCAGCCCAAATCCTTGCCCTCAGTCCTAGGAGTGGGTCCTGTCGCATTTACCTTCAGGGAAGCCCCAGCCTCCGTTCCACCCGCGCCCGCCCCCATCCCAGCTCCGTCCCTCTCATAATAGGTTTGGCACCTTAAGACCCCGCCCCTCTAACCAGAGGGCCCCGCCCCCTGCAGGCCCCGCCCCCCGCCCAGGCGGGGCTCACCTTGGTCTCAGCCAACTGTCGCTTGAGCAGCTGCAGCGCCTCGGTGTGCTCCCGCTCGCTGTCCTGAAGGGCCTGAAGCTGCTCCTTCAGCTCCCTCTGGAACAACACAAGGCCTGGATGCGGGGCTCCGGCCAGACCGCCGCCGCTCTCCCGCGACCTCCCCCAAGACCACCCTCCCCGCACAGTTCAACAATCCCAAGTCTCCCAGATATACCGGCTGCTTTCATCTTTCCATCTTTCATCGGGAGTTTTGCAACACGCTCCTCTCTAGCCATCCTAGATGCTTGTGGTCTCCCTGTCCAACCCGCCTCCACATGACGTTCTGCCCCCGCCTGATTTGCTGGCGGAGACTCCTGGCTTAGAATTCTCGGAAGGGTACCAAGTAGCACTGTGGCTCCGCTAGGACTCGCGCGTCGGGTGCTCTTGGCGCTGTTCTCAAGCCTTTGCTTGTATGGGGTCATTTAATCTTCTCAGTAATACAGAGGAAGGCACTATTATTACCTCCGTTTTCCGTCGGAAAAATTGGTACAGAGAGTTTGTGAAACTGGCCCAAAAGCATGCAGCCAAGCAAGTAAGAGTAAAACCATAATTGCACCATGATTTTGACGTCAGGTGACATATCTTCTGCAGTGGTGACACCCATGACAGACAGCGACAAATCCACAATATACAACAGATGGAATACGGCCACAATTAGTATTACTGATTTTTCCTTTCCCTCGGGTTCCAGGAGGGCTCAGTATGACTCTGCTAGTAATTTTGTTTTGATTTTAAAAATTTGATATTTTGTTCATCATGAGTTTTGTTTTTGTTTGTTTGTTTTGCTTTAATATTGATTTTCAAAAATTGCATTAAGTATTACCCACCTCAACCCCTGAGTTTTGGGGTGCCTACTTCAATGTTGCACCTCACCCTCCCACACCTGTCTCCACCATCCTTCTCCCTTTACTCCCCTGCAGCCAAAGTGGACTTCTTCCCGTTGCTCTGTCATGGGCTCGTCTCACCCTCATGATTTAGCCCTTGCTGCTTCCTCTGGCCAGCGCACTCCACTCAGATTTTCTCCCAGTGATTCCTTGGTGTCATTAACCTATCAGCTCCAGTGCCACCTGGTCAGGGAGGTCTCGCTCACGTACAGCTTCATCGACACCCTCAGTCCCACATCCTGTTTCGAGGTCTTCCTAGCACCTTCTGCTGTCCAAGACGCTCTTGCTCACTTGTTAGACAGTTTCCTGCTCATGGCCTCCACTAGACAGTGACTATCATGAGGGCAGGGGTCTTGTCTGGCTTGTTCACTGTTGGATCCCCAGTGTTTAGAATAGTGCTCAGCACACAGTAGGGCCTCAATGAATATTTGTCAAATGAATGAATGTGGTGTTGAGGTGGGTACCCCGGTGAGAGGGCCCGCTGTCTGCATGAACTGGGTGTTTGGCTTATTGTAACTAGTTCTCCTGTCTGTCCCTAGTGTCCCGCCTTCCCATCCCCCATGAGCCCATGAGTCCTACGGGGATGGGCCCTTACCATTCCCTGCTCTCTATCCCCTGTACCTGTCAACAGCCTGACAATAAGATGGGGCTCAAGGAGGTTTGCTTTGTGGATGAATTTCTGCGGAAACAGCCTCTGAGCAGGACCTGGGTTTTCCAGTCAGCCTGGGCTGTGAGAGATGCCAAGAAGGTGACTTACCTGTTCACCCCTACCTCCCTCCTACTCACTCAGCTCATGAGGGCAGGGAGGACCCTTGGAAAACATCTGGCCCACCTAATTTTACAGATGAGGCAGCAATATGGGAAGATGGTCATGATGACATGCTAAGAGAAGCATGCAGAAATTATCTTTGCTTACTATCCCTTAGCCATGCTACAAATATTTACTACGTATGTGCCAGGCACCACTGAGGCTCTGGGGATACCCCAGAGAGCGAGACAGACAGTCCGTGGCCAGAGGAACTGTCCAGGGTGGTGGGGAAGGGAGAGAATGAGCAAAGAAAGTAACAGCTCCGGCCTGTGCTCTACAGAAAATAAAGTGGTGTGGGATGGGGGTGAGTTTGGGGGAGGGTGGACAGGGAAGGCTCCTCTTCCCTGAGTTGTCACCTGAGATGACACGGCAGCAGGGTGGGGAGGAGCCGGCCTCAGAAACAGGAGTTAGATGGGACACTGGGGACGGCTTGTGCTGTGAGAGCAGAGAGCTCCCACAGACAGGATGGCTACCACCTCTGCGAGTGCCTCGGGGCCATGAGGCAACTATAAAGATGGGAGGCACAAGCTGAAGCCAGAGGGGTAGGAGGAGGCAGGAGCCTGGGTCCCTGATGATGGATTGTGGCTCAGTGATGAGTTAGGAAGCTGGCCCTCAAGAAAAAAGAGAGAGAGAGAGAGAGAGAGAGAGAGAGAGAGAGACAGAAGCCCTGATTACTGGTGTTTGCCAATTTCTGTGGTATAAATGCTCCCACCAGAGCTGATTATCAAGCGATGACCGTGAGGTCAGGGGCTGGGGATACCTGGCACAGTCAGCTGGCAGGAACCGGAGCGAGCCAGCTCCAACACACCACTGCCTGGGGGCCTTTCCTACAGGCCGGCTGTATGGGGGAGAGAAAGACACATCATCTCCTCACGGCTGCCCGGCCAGGTGTCTGGTACTGACAGCCGACAGTCATTCCTAACAGGTTCATGCGCATCTGAGTTGTTGGAGCAGACAAATGTCATTCCCCTGAAGAGTATAGATCGACTGCTCATCAGGCTCCCCCTGATGGCCCTGGGGCTACCCAGCTTGGGACCTGGCTGAGGGATGAGCTGAGTGCGACAGTCGTCCCTCCTGGTGTCCTCACAGGTTCACATAAGACTCAGCCCCCCAGGTGTCTCCTCAGAGTCTCTGAGAAAACGACCCCGGAGGCAGAGTTCCTCACAGCGCTGAGGGCACCCAAGAGGCCTGGACAAATCCCTCCCTGCTTCCAGGGCCAAGGAACAAGAAACAAGGAGAGAAGGCCTGCCTTTTCCTCTTGGACCCTGGGAGACACAGAACCTTCCTTTGCCGATTCCACAGACAGGTGCAGAGGTCTCCTTGGGTCCACACGGTGCTGGGTCAGCAACAGGCAGAGGGATGCTTCAGGAGGGGGAATTGGGGGGGAACACAGGGACACATGCATTAACATGACAGGGAATGCTGGAACCGGGTTAGGGGACACAACACTTGCTGCTCTTCCCAGGTCCCCATCTCAGCGAGGGCCACCCCTACCCCTACTGCCATCCAAGTGAGAACTCTGGGAGTCACTCCTGATGCTGCCCGCCCACGAGGGCAATCAGTCATCAGGTTTGTCTCGCCGGTTGTCTCCTGTCTACACCCACTGCCCCTGGTTCGGTTTTCTGGACTGTGACCCTAGGCTCCCCTCTGCCCCTGCACTCTCCAAATGGAGTGCCTTGTCTCTAGGACAGATCTGTCCATGCTTTTTCCCTGTGCCCCATGGCAGGATCTCCATGGTGTCTGAGAAGATGGCCACGAAGCTTGAGTGTGGCACTCAAGGCCTTTACCCCTGGCCCCAAACTTCTTCTCCAGCCCTGTCTCTTGGTCCAGACCTGCACTGTTCAAGGCAGCAGCTACCAGGCACATGTGGCTACTAGGGTTAACATGCTTTGAAATGAAATAAAACTGAAACTCTGTTCCTCAGTGGCCCCGAGGTGCTGGGTTACGTGTCTGAAGTGGTCAAGAGCCACACAGGACGGGTGGCCAGTGTCTCAGAGGGCACAGATGTGGAGTCTCAGGAACCGTGTGGTCAAACCCTCCGGATCTAACAGGAAACTGAGGTCCACCGAAAGGGACTGACTGGCCGGTGGCCACATAGCTTAACAAAGGAGAACCAACTGGAAAACATAGTGCCGGCAGAAGTGAGACACCAAACAGGAAGCTCTGAGCAGCAGAGCTGGTGCAGAGGAAGGGCAGTGGCGGGGTCTGGGTTCACAGGCGCGTGTCACGCAATTCTCACAGCCGTCTCACGGAGGGCGAAATAGAGGCTCAGAGAGATCAGACAGCTGGCCCAAGGTTACACAGCTCCGTTTCCAAATCTGTAAAGAGCAGCTAATACCAGTGTTGGGTCTGTGGTTGTGAGGATCCAATGACTTAATTCGCGACCTGACATGATGCCCAGAGTGACGCTCAGTCACTCTTGGCTGCTGTCACGGTCATCACCATCATCATCTCAGTGACATGTGAAACAGGGAGTCAGAACCGGTTGAGGCTTCCAGGAGAGACATTATTTCTGATGGAAAGCCTGGGGAAGATGGTTGGATGGATGCACTGGAAGGAGTCCTTCAGGGATCCTGGGTGGGGCCAGAGCATCCCAGGTGGAGAGACTAGTTGGGCAGGGGCACACCTGGTGTATGCAGGAAGTGGGAGGTGGCTGGGGGTGAGGGGAGCCAGGTCTGGGCAGATGGGTGGAGTCAAGCTGGAAGGGCCGGTGGGGCTAGCTGGGGTGAGAGCAGGAGGTGGAGGAGGCCTTGAAGGTCCTCATGGGGGGCTGGACTCTGGTGGCCCCATCAGAGCAGGAGCCTGTCAGGAGGAGGGGAGTCCCTTGGAAGGCGGGGCCACAGCTCTGTAGGCCTTCCTTTGGAGAGGAAGCAGACCTGAGCAGACAATTATGCAAATGTCAGCTGACAGGCTCTGGGGCTCCCCCACAGGTTTGGAGAGGCCCAGACCAGGGCAGCCGCCTTGGGGGAGGACAGAGAGCCAGGTTTCCCACACTCCCAAGGTCAGACTGCCCCTCCTGTGGGGCCACCCCTCTCCCATCCTATAGGGCAAAGCTGCTGCAGGAAACGGTCTCATGAAGGCTTCAGGGACCCTTCTCAACCCTGTCACCAAGCAGTGCTGCCCATTGGAGATAGTGTGAACTCTGGCCTCAGAAAAACTGGGTTCGAATCCCAGCTGTATGACCGTGGGCAGATCACCTCTTCCCCTCTCAGGGCTCACCTCTTGGAGCCTTATCTGTAAAATGGGCATCAGAGCCACCCATGGGGTTGGGGTGGGACTAAATAAGGCCACCTCCCCTTCTCTGTGCACCTGTACACTCTCTCTCCTGCTCTGACCCAAGGACGCCAGAAGTCTCGACATGGCAA